CCCCAAAACCCCAAAACCCCAAAACCCCAAAACCCCTGGGTCTATAAAGGAAATAGAATTTAATAACTATAATATTTTAGTCTATCAAAATATGGAAACAATAAGCCAATATAGTGATAATGTAAGGTATCAGTTAGCACAGCAGCAGTTAGACCAAATGTTCATGAAGTGGATCACCCAGGATAAAGTTCAATTGTTTGTGAATAAGTTAATAGAAGAAGTACATGATCCTACTAGCAATATTCTGTCTCCTCCGCCTCCAATATTTATTAACAAAATGTCTACTCCGGTAAGCCCGAGTGACAAGAAATCTGGAGCTTCATCATTATTGGGTAAAATAGGGAGGACGCCTCCCAAGAGTCCTTCTGGGAATATTAAATACCATACCTTAGTGAATCCCGTGTTTGAGCCAATGGAAAATAAGGAAGAAGAAAAAGATTTGGCTTCTTGAACTCTGAAACAGAAGCAGTTGACAAAGGACATGACTAAAAAGCACACAGTTCCTAAATTTTATTATGAAGAAGGAAGACCCCTAGAAGAGGAGATAGTCAAGATAAATAATGAGGAGATCAGTAATGTTTTCGGCGACTTGCAGGAGGTCACCAAAGAAGAATTCCTCCCAATTACAGAAAAAGTATTCAAATTTCCCAAATTTTTAAATTCTCTGTTGTTCAAAAGGCTGGATACAAAGAGTGCAGGCAAAGTAAGCTACACAGATTTCATGGATGCTTGGAATGCAGAGTATGAGAGAATAGAGGTGTCGAAAAGGATATTCAAAATCCTGGCAAAGCCAGGGGAGAAATATATTCATTACGAAGATTTCAAGCCAATGCTAAAAGAGCTTCTAGATACTCACCCTGGTCTTAATTTCTTGCAAGCAACTCCTGAATTTCAAGATAGGTATGCAGACACAGTCGTTATGAGAATATTCTTCACCATAGATCGAAATGATGATGGAAGAATCTCCTATAGAGATTTAAAGCAGTCGAATTTTATAAAAACTCTCTTCTATGTTGATGAGGAGGAAGACATCAACAAAATCAGAGACTACTTCTCATATGAGCATTTCTACGTCCTCTACTGAAGATTCTGGGAACTTGACAATGACCATGATTTTATGATTGATAAAGAAGACTTTAGTAGATACGAAGGTTATGCTCTCTCCAGGAAAACCATGGACAAAATATTTGAACAAATCCCGAGGAAATTTAAATCAGACAACCCAGAGAAAATGCTGTATGATGATTTTGTCTGGTTCATGCTCTGTGAGGAAGACAAGACAACTAAGAGAAGTCTTCAATATTGGTTTGATATTATTGATCTTGACAGTAATGGGATAATCACTCCTCATGAGATGGAGTTCTTTTATGAAGAACAAGTTCAGAGGCTACAATCTCTGAACCATGAACCGATACTGTTCAATGATTTGTTGTGACAGATGAATGATATGATCTCACCTAAGGACGAAGCTAATTTTACATTTGAAGAGCTATGGGAGCGTAGGGACAACGTTGGAATTTTCTTTAACTGCTTGTGTAATCTTAACAAACTGATCTCCTATGAAACTCGAGACCTATTTGCACTCAAGCATCAGACAAATGAGAACCCAGACTATTCTGAATGGGATCTTTTTGCCAAAAGTGAATACGAGCGCCTCGCGATGGAAGAAGAAAACCCTGAAGACTCTGATGTCATTGATACGATGGATAATATGGATAATATGGATGCTGGAGGAGATGGCAGTGAGGATTACACTTAAATTCAAAGACTTAAGATGGAGTAATTAATTTAAAATTTTAATCAACCTTGATGTGGATATTGGGGTTTTGGGGTTTTGGGGTTTTGGGGTTTTGGGGTTTTGGGG